ACCTGGGTATCTGACACATAGTAACAGCTCAGCAAATGTCTTCAGTTTTGTTAAGACCAGCTGGGGATCGCCTTTGTTCCACAGATGAGGAAAGGGAGGCCTATGTTAGTTAACTGTCCAAAGCAACCTGTTAATAAAGGCAGCTTTGGGATAAAGCCCAAGTCTCCTCATTCCCCAGCCAGCTGCCCCCACACTTTTAATCATTCTCCGATACACAGTATCAGGCATGAGGCCTGTCTTTTGTTTGAATCATTGTTTTAGGGCATAGAAGGCTCACACCAGGAAAAAAATCTCCATCTGAAGCTCTTGAGGATTCTCACAGGCTCAGTCTGAGTCTCCTACAGTATTGTTCCTGTTTGCTTTTTCAAGACATCAGCACCCACCCACGTAGTAACTCCAGGGTGAATGTTGTCCCAGTTACACCTCTTGTCGCTCTCCATCTCCATTCCCGGCTGCAAGGACCGTGTGGGGTGGGCACAGAGGCTTGCTCTAGGTGGTTCACGCAGGAGCTCACCCAGCCCGCTCCAGACCTCCCTGCCGAGAAAGACCTGGCTGATAGTGTTGTGTGCACAAGGTTGTTGTGCGCACGGTCCGCGAAGGGCTCGGGGTCCACGGGGAGGGCCAGGTTGTGGTTTGGGGGTTAAAGTCATTTATTCCCACCCTCTGCCTCCGTGAGAGGGCCGCGGGCGTCAGGCTAGGAGCCGCTCCCTCTCCCCCTGCCCAAGAGAATGGGAAGGAATGATTCAGGTGAAAAGGATTAAAAAAAAAAAAAATACTGCAGAAGCAGTGCGTATTCGCAAGCATTCCACCAAAAGCTCAACGTAATAGTCACGGGGTAATGCTTTTGGAGGTCAGGAAGGGGGCCAGGGAACGGCAAGCGCCCCCACACCCCGGACATTTAGAAGGTCAAACGCCACCGCTCCCCCCACTCTCCCACCCTTCATCCCAACAGCTCTGTGCTCGGCCTCCCCTGCTGCCCTCAGCGCTCCCCGTCCGTGTCTTGGTCACTAAAGAGACCCGGAAAGTGAGGCCCAGGCCCCGCGCCACCGGTTGGACGCGGGGCGTGCAGGGGGCCCGGGGTACGGGGCTGCGCCAGGTGCACACCCGCGTTAAGGACCCGGAAGCGGACGTCTCACATGCTCTCCGGGAACACGCCAGACTCCGGCCAAGGGGGCGGGGCGTCTCCGGCTCTGCGTGCTTGCGTCATCGCGTAGGCTGGCGGGGCCGCGGGGTGGAAGAGTGACGTATAGGCTGCGTAGAACGGCTGTGGGCGGGCCTAGGGAGCGAGGACGCAGCTAGCCCCGTCTCTTAAAGCCGCCACGACCTTTCGAGTCCGACAGCGGGGGCCACGAGTTGCGGCGCCTTTAAGCGTCGCCGTGACACGTGTGTGAGTCGCCCGAGGCCCGGATGGTGCGTGTGCAGGGCCCGGGCCGAGTAGACGACAGCGCCGCGGCCCTGCAGCCGGGCCCGCCGAGGGCCGGGTAGGCTGGGGCCGGGTCTCGGCGGCGCGCAGGCCGAGAGAAGGCTGCGCGTCCGGCCGGGTTGGAGGGCTTCCGCTGGGCCTGGGGCGCGGGAAGGTGCGGCCTGCAGGGGGGCGCACCGGGGTGGGGGGGGACGTGGGCGCGCGGCTGCGAGGCGCTCAGGGGCCGGTGGGGAGGGCCCAGGGCTACTTCGTTAGCGAGGAGTTCGGGGCTGCGCTGTCCGTCAGGGGCTCGGCGGTCCACGGGGAGGGCCAGAGGCGCACGGTCCGCGAGGGGCTCGGGAGTCCACGGGGAGGGCCAGGGGCGCACGGTCCGCGAGGGGCTCGGGGATCCACGGGGAGGGTCAGGAAGTCGCGGTGCGCGAGGACTCCGGGGTCCGTGGGAAGGTCAGGGGCGCACGGTCCGCGAAGGGCTCGGGGTCCACAGGGAGGGCCAGGGGCGCACGGTCCGCGAGGGGCTCGGGAGTCCAAGGAGAGGCCCAGGGGCGCACGGTCCGCGAGGGCCTCGGGGATGCACGGGGAGGGTCCGGGACGCGCGGTCCGCGAGGACTCCGGGGTCCACGGGGAAGTCAGGGGCGCGCGGTCCGCGGGGGCTCCAGGATCCGCAGGGAAGGTGTGAGGCTGCGCAGTCCGCGAGGGGCATAGGGGGTCCGCAGAGAGGGTCCGGGAGGTATGCCCTTTGCTGTTCCCGGGGAACACGGACTGGTGGTGGATGAGAAAGCTGCCCCAGCCAGGAGCCCCAGGGAGTCGGGGGAGGCAACGGTGTGTGTCGGTCTTGGGTACAGTTGTTACCCAGAGAAGCATCACTAATGCAGGACCCAGACTTTCTCTGGAATAGCTTAAGTCAAAATCTGTTCTGTTTGGCAGCAGTGCTGAAATTTCTTTCTTTCCTCCCCCCGCCCCCCTTTTTAGTAATAAATGTGGGAAAGACTTAACCCTGGAGAAGGTAACCTTCTTCAGGGTCATGGTCACGGTGAATGTGAGCGGGTGGGGACAAGATGTGGGGTTTGAAAATACCCTTATTTTAGTCGGTAATGTTGAGTCTCCCCTGGGGTACTAGGAGCTGGACGGAGTAGCATTCTAAAACCCAGAGAGGTGAGAGAGGAAAGCATCGTGGCCAGCCTGCTTTCTGTAAGAGATGCCTAGAATCAGGCCTCCAAGGAGAGGGAGGCTCTGCTTAGTCTTTTCCGACTGGAGCCTGGTGTTCTGCAGGCTCTGCAGAAGAGCCTGGAGGCCCCCTGTGAAAGTGCCCCAGGGAGGCCCGGGCTCTGTCCATCTGGGGCTCCTCCCCCACCAGCACGTGGTTGACCCTGTGAGTCTTGAGTGCATTTCATCCTGGAAAAGTGCATTTAGAGGGAGGAGGGAGAGAGAATATGCTTGAAGGGTGTTCTGCGGATGCTGTTTGCCTACTCTTGGAGGTAGAAATATGCCTGGAGAAGCCTGAGCTGTTCCTGGACCATGGAGTGGAGGGAGCATCCTTCCCGAGTTCTGAAGAGCATGTTGTCAATTACGTACATCAGAGGGCTTGCTGATGATTACAAGGACATTTTTCTCTGGGTTCCTACACCTCAGAGAGAGATGATTTTTTGGTCATTGTTGAATATGTTTTGGGTGGAATTGGCGACAGAGAGGTTGATCTTTGTCAGAACTTGAAAAATTGTTCAAAGTCTCTGACTTCCACATTGAGGAGTGGGCTGTGGGATAGATGTTCTTTAAATTACTTCTCTCAAAATAAATTCGGTTGTTATCTCCCAAGTTCTGTTTATCTTCTCACTGTTTGGTTCCCGAACATTTGCCCTTGGACCCCTGTGCATCTATGTCCTCACCTGTCCACAGTAAGGTATGAGTTTCGATTAAGACAGGGATATTGGAATCTTCACCTTACAGATTGGATTTTATTCTGAGATCATATTCATTATGCTCACCCTTTATTTTGGCGTTGGTATGGTTTTATTTATGGATATGAGAAACGATGCATCTGAAATTTGCTGTCAGTGTGGGGACAGGAGAGGAATGAGGAGTGGGCCTACATAGTAATTATTGATGCTGAATAAGGGGAATATGTGGTCTCTGTGTTGTTGCCACCACATTGTATATATTTGAACGTTTTCACAGCGAAAAAATTTTTTAAGTATTTTAATTTTATGTAATCATAGTGATTGTGGATGGTAAAGAAAATCTGCACTTAGCAAAGTGAAAATGTGGCAATTCTTACTGCTTCGTCGATTTTCTTTTCTTTTTTCTTTTTTTGAAATTCTAGGGTACACCTGGGTGGCTCAGATGGTTAAGCGTCTGCCTTCGGCTCAGGTCATGATCCCAGGGTCCTGGGATCGAGCCCCACATTGGGCTCCTGGCTCAGCGGGGCGCCTGCTTCTCCCTCTCCCCTGCTCATGCTCTCTCTCTCTCTGTATCTCTGTGTCTCAAATGAATAAATAAAATCTTTAAAAAAATTTTTTTTTATCTTAAAAAAAGTTCTGGTTTATGAAATCTGGAAGTTGGAGGTGAGGGCGTTATTACCTCTCAGTCTGGAAAGTGACTTAGACTGGAGAACACTGAAGATTTTTGTTCATTGGGCTTGTCGTGGGCCTGAAGGTTAAGATACCGAGCCAAGGGCAGTGTTTTCATATCATGCACATTGTAATAACTTGTAGCTAGTCCGTTCAGTTCTTCTCCAGACTCCCTAAATCCAGCACCATCTGTACTCCTTCAACCTGAATGCCGACTCTTCCAGATAGATAGCCTTCCTGCTCTGGTTCTGCGCTTCCTGCTCTGGTTCCGCGCAGTGGGGCTGAGGAAATGGTGGAAGAGAGCGGCCTCACATGGTGCTCCGTTCACCCCACAGATTCTGAACGACAGACTTGGCAGCTTTGGTGATTTCACGGGCATAGCTGAGGAGCTCATGAATCGGAGGGTCCTGCCCTGCATCTGCCCAGTCCGGCCAAGAACCTGACCCCATGCTGCAGTAGCAACACGCCCAAGTTCAGACATCCCAGGTGAGCCAGCAGAGGCTTCAGAGTAGTTTTCCATTTCTCCAAGCTATCGGCTTGTAGCCCAGCAGCAGTTCTTCAGTTGGTGGGAACACTTCGATAATTCCCCTTAGGAAAGGTTCTTTTATTTCTTCAAATCAAAGAACTTGTGCTTGCTTTTTAAAAAATAAGTTTCTTACATTTCAATTCGTGGCAAGAATTTTTTTTTTTTAAGATTTTATTTTTAACTAATGTCTCCACCCAACATGGGGCTTGAATTTACAGCCCCAAGATCAAGAGGCACACGCTTTACAGTTTAAGCCAGCCAGGCGCCCCGCAGAAAAAAAAAAATTTTTTTTTTTTAAGATTGTATTTATTTTTTTTGGCCGAGAAAGAGCGTGCGCACACAAGCAGAGGCAGAGGGAGAAGCAGGCTCCACCCCAGGGCCCTGGGATTGTGACCTGAGCCGAAGGCAGATGCTTAACCGACTGAGCCACCCAGGCGCTCCCCTTGCAGAAATTTTTATAGATAAAGAAATTTGACCCATGTGGGGAATGAGATGCTCCGTAAGGATAAATTTGAACCGTTTAATAAGAGATCCTTTTACTGAGTTCCGGGATACACCTGCCTATTTGGTGCCCCTGTGGCAGGCTGGATGCCGGATACCTGAGGGAGTCCTCATTCTTCTGATAAGAGTGAGCAATTTAAGGAACATATTTTTCTAGTTGTGACTCAGATTGCCCGTGAGCTCTATAGCTGAGGTGGCTTGAGTTGAGAGGTAGTGAGTTGCAGTCAGAGGTGATGGAGGGGATTCCTGTTCAGTCCTATTTCCAGCAGCTGCAGCTCTCACCTCGATAACCTTAGAACCTCCTTTGGTGCTGCTTTCAGTCCCTGTTTTACACAGAATAGAGGAGCTGCGAAGTCACAGTGGTTGCCACTGGAATTTTTAGCTGATAGGTGAAGGAATAAGCCAGGCCTGCCGCACGCCAGCCCTGAACTGTCACTTCCCTCGTAAAGTTTGGGCGTCTTGGGTGTACCATTCCAGTCCCGCCACTGTCCTGTCTCTCCTCCCTCACTTTCAGAAAGATCATCTGTACAGGCACCATCCAGTAACACAGGCCATTACGTATAATTTTACAGGAGCCCCATTAAAAAACAAAAAGCAAATGAAACTAATTTTCACAACACATGTTACTTAACCCAATATATGTAAAATATTATCATTTCAACATGTAAGCAGTGTAAAAATTATTGAGGTGTTTTACATTCTTATACTAAGTCTTTGAAATCCTTTGCATATTTTATACTTACAGTGCATCTCGGTGTGGACTCGCATCATTTCAGTGATCACATGTGACCTCTGGCCTTCGTTTTGAAGAGCATGAGCCCGAGCAGAAAGGCGTGCTTATGTAACTCACCACGCTAATTCTTTTATCATATGGATTTGTGTGTGCGACCAGAGCGTCTTATGAGCATCAGTGTTTCCCTGTTTTTGAGCAGACATTGGGATCACCTGGTCAGCTCTTGAAGGAGGTGGCATCAAGCTGATGCCCATAGTCCCATAGTCCCATAGTCCGTCATTGAAGAGACGCATGCTGCAGGCCTCCCTGGTACCACCTTTGTCTCTTTAGTGCTGTTTGTGAAAGCACCTTCTCTTTTTGACAGGTGTGGTGAACTCTGGCCAGGTGGTTCGTAATATGTCTCCATGTTTCATACTTCCTTTGTAGGGTTGGCAACCAATCCAGAGAAGCTTTTATGGTGGCTAACATCCGTAAAGACCAGAGGGGATTTTCACAGAAGTGACGCTCTGTTCCTGGGACCTAGTTACTCGTCGCTCTGTGTTCCTTCTTGTCCCCACAGTGATGCACCATGCCAATAGTCGATAAATTGAAGGAAGCCCTGAAACCTGGCCGCAAAGACTCGGCTGACGATGGAGAGCTGGGAAAGCTTCTGGCCGCCTCTGCCAAGAAGGTCCTTTTACAGAAGATCGAGTTCGAACCAGCCAGCAAGAGTTTCTCCTATCAGCTGGAGTCATTAAAGAGCAAATATGTCTTGCTGAACCCGAAAACAGAGGGAGCCAGTCGCCACAGGAGTGGAGACGAGCCACAGGCCAGGAGACAGGGTACAGACACACGGTTGGCTGGCAGAAGGGGTCTCACTGTGTGTTGACCAAGTGGATGGATGAAGTGTTGACCGATTAGGAGGAACAAAAACAGAATGTGGTCAGAGAGTTACGAAGCTTCTCTGGGGTCAGTGGCTCTGTAGTTACAGAAGTAATGATACAGGGTTGGTCACAAAGAGATCTGTGTCCTTAGGCCATGGAAGTTGTGTGTGTTTAGTAGGATCAACAGTGGGGCTGAGAAAGAAGCAAGAGAAATGGGCCAGGCTCCAGCTATTCATTCTCTGAGGGTTGTCCTCCATGGAGGACTCCCTGAATTCCAGACCTAAGCAGTCTGCAGGAGCCCCAGGATGACTGGGTTTTCTCCTGGGCTTTCTAGTAACTTCAGTCAGCGGGAACACCGGTTACCCTCTGACACTGTGTCTTGGCAGGTGCATGCCGAGTGTGCCTCAGCGATTTCTGTTTCGTGTCCCACCTGTGCATAGACTTAAGCCCTCCTTTCTTCCCTGTCCCTTTCTCATGCAGGCAGTGAGCATGCCCACGAGAGCGGCGGTGATGGGGTCCCAGCCCCACAGAAAGTGCTCTTCCCCACGGAGCGGCTGTCTCTGAAGTGGGAGCGGGTTTACCGCGTGGGAGCGGGGCTCCACAACCTCGGCAACACCTGCTTCCTGAACTCGACCATACAGTGCTTGACCTACACCCCGCCTCTGGCCAACTACCTGCTCTCCAAGGAGCATACTCGCAACTGTGAGTGGGAGGTGGTAGCTGGGGCTGGGGGGGTGGGGCGGGAGTCGTGGGAACCGCATAGTCTCCTGATAAGACAAACCCATGTGCCCGTGGTGCTAGCAGCCTTCAGCCTGGGTCAGATGTAGGAGTGAAGTCCGTGATGTAGTAACTGATGAAACCTAAATCTGGCACGTGCCGGCTGTAGGCCAGGCCACAGAAGCCAGTCACTCGTGTAGATTGTTGGTCCCAAACTGTTCTGAAAATGAGAACCTAAAGGGAGAAAGGCGTTTTCAAAAAATACGTTCATAACGTGTACATTCAATGACTACACATCAACTGTTGTACCAGTGTTTTATGAACATTATAAAACGTGCCCCAGAGGAGAAATGAAAAATGGGTAAAGATGAAATAAAATGTCACTTACCAAAACTGAAGAAAGTAGAAAGCCTTTTAACTATTAGTAAAAGAAATTAAATTGGTGTTTAAAAATCTTCCCATGAAGAAAATACCAGGCTGAAATGATTTATGGGTGAGCTTTATGAAAATTTTGAGAAATAGATTGTTGCAGTGCTTCACAGGTTCTTCCCGAGAATAGAAAAAGAGAGAGAACCCCCAGCTCATTTTATGAGGTTCTTATAACTTGGGTAACAAAATTAAACAAGTACAGTAGGAGAAAGAACAATTACAATCTCATCTTACTCACGAGTGTAGTCACAAAACTTCTAGACAGAATACTACCACGTTCAAGAGTCTCTTAAACACTGTGAGCAACCCGTGTTCACCCTAGTGATGCAGGGATGTTCTAGTATCAGGAACTCTTAAGTGTGCCCGTGGAGAGCGCACAGCACGGCAGGTGGAACCGCTCCCTCGGAGGTTGGCCTGCTGGGCTCTGTCCTGGCCCTCCCCCTAAGTGCTGTGATCCCTGAGAATGTTACCTAAGCTTTTGGAAACTTCTGTTCCTCATCTGCAAAGTAATAATATCATCTCCCCAATAGAGCTGTTGGGAAGCTTGAGTGAATTACATAAGGTGCTCACAATAGTACTTGGCACACAGGGCGTGCTCCGTAAGAGACTGCTCATTTTGCTTCCTTAATTACTGTATCAACAGATTAAGGGAGAAAGGTCACCTGAAAATAATGCTCCCAAAAAGAAACGTATGATAAACTTTTAGCAAAGGAGCAATAGGAAGGAGTTTCCTTGTCTTGTTAAAGGTATCTACCAAACACTACAAAAACATTCTAGATAGGAAAATGTCGGAAGCATACCCTTCGGAATTCAGAGTGAAACAAGGGTTTCTCTCACCACTTGTGTTGAAGATATGTCGGTCCTAGCCAGAGCAGTGACCAAGGAGACAAAAGGAAGGAGTGCGCTATTGTTCCTTGAAAATGACATTCCTGCATTGAAAAAGCAAGAGAATCTATAAATTAGAAATTTGGCAATGTGCCTAGATACACCATCAACATACAAAAAGTTAGTTGAATTTCTCTACACCAGACAACAAGGAGTTTTTTAAAAATTTTGCTACTATAAAATTTTCTGAAAAGAGGGGTGCCACACTGACTATGAAGTCTTGTCAAGTGAGAGAAATTAAAGTGTCATAGTATGGGGTCAGGGAGGGGACCCACTGACCAGTGGAACGGAATAGAGCCCAGAAACAGACCTGCGTACATCTGTAGGTGTGTTACGTGTTGGTTCTTCATGTGTCTCCCGTTTGAAATTAATGGAACTTAAAAAGGACTCAGGCTTACATATGGAAAAAGCAAAATAGGGTCCCCATTTCACAGCATACCTGTGCACAAAAAAATGCGTTAAAAATTTAATGTGAAAAGCAAATATTAAGCTCTTATAACAAACATTGGCCAATCTTTTTCTGACCTTGGGATGGGAGGTTTCTTAAACAAGATTCAGAAAACACCAACTATAAAGGAAAAATGACAGATTCAGCTGCACTGAAGTTAACATTTGTTCCCCCCCCCCCAAAAAAAAAACACTTAAAAGGCAAACGGAGCTATGAGCTGGAGGCAAAACCCGGGACACATAACCAATAAAGAGTTGCTACCAAGAAGGTGGAAAGAATACAGACTACCAAGGGAAAGACAACCATAAAAAGGTAAAATTATGAACCAGCATTTTACAGAAAAGGAAACTCCTGGGCAGAGTATAGGGAGAGATGTTCAGCCTTGCTGAATTCAAGGAAGTGTCGTCAAAACCACGACAACAGCAGCGACGCGACACACCTTTGTGATGGCTGCACGTTCAGAAGCCTGACGGGACCGAGTGTCAGCATGAAGATGAGTGAGAACCTTTTATGCTCGCCTGAGCTGGCCTATCTTCCAAATACCGCGCCAGCCAGCAGTACTCCGCCTGCGGAAGAGCTCTGTACGTGCCTCTTGGGACACCTGTGTAAACACATCTGCAAGCAGCAAATTGTAAGCCGCTCAGGTGCCCATCAGCAGACGGACGCGCGCATCACGGTGCAGGCCCATGAGGACAGCGTGCTGCAGGGCAGGGGAATGAAGGGCCGCTCTGTGCATGGAGCTGAATAAGCCAGTGAAGGAAAAGTCCCAGAAGATTGCACACAGCGTGAATTGCTATTTATAAAATGGAAAAACAAGACGCTATAGTGTTTAGGTATACACATATGGGGTAAGACTTAAAAAAAAAAAAATTTTTTTTTTTAATTGGTAAACAATGAAAATGAGTCAGGAAATTAGGATAGAACCAGAGGCAGGACCAGATAGGAGCAAGTGAGGAGCAGTGTTAGGATAAAAGTGGATTGTGTGATGTGTTCAGGGAGATTTGTTCTATTTTTTTAAATCAGTGAAAGGTGACATGTGATGGAAATAGCATTTTTAAATGTCTCGCAATCGTGATGGTTCTGTGGTGGCCGGAGTTAACACACTGAGGCACCGTGCCCACTGCAGGTGAAGTTGGTTACAAATTTCTATTTCTGGTTGTGACCTTGGTGGGGTCGAGGGGTTCTGGGTGGACTTTTAGTAAGACTCGACTGGGCTGTCTTTATGGTTTTTTGTCTTTTTAAGCCTTTTTTTTTTTTTTTTTTGAGAGAGAGAGAATCTCAAGCGGACTCAGATGCTGAGCGCAGAGCCCAAGGCAGGGCTCAATCCCGCGACCCTGAGATCATGACCTGAGCTGAAATCAAGAGTCAGATGCTCAACTGACTGAGCCCCCCAGCACCCCGGTGCTCTGTTTTTTTCTCCTGACTTTGGTGAGGAGACCCTACTCTCCAGACCTAGGCAGCGCTGCCATTTTCTTGCTCACCCTGCTTCCCTGTGCAGCTACCCTCCGGTTTTGCTTCCTCGGCAGGCCCCTCCGTCAGCTTGATTAGGGTTGGTGTAGGTAAACTAGGTGACGCCTGGAAACCCCGTAACCCGCCACACGTACTCTGCAGCCCGTGGGAGCGAGGGCGTGAGGTGGGAGCAGCCAGGATCGGCCCCTCCTGGTGGCGGGACATCTCGCCCTGGCTCAGGACGCCTCTCCTGTGGGCGCCCCGGTGTCCCTCTGCGTCACTCTGAAATGCTAACCTTAGTGTTTTCCTTTTTTCCAGAGTAAAAGTATTAAGTCTTAGTATTTGTTGGCCTGTACCCCCTGGCTCTCTGAGTGACCCCAGGTGGGCTCGGGCTGTCCTCTCTTCCTCCTTGAATGCCCGCTATTTGAAGGCTCTCGAGGACTCTCAGAAGTATCACTGGAACTGCCGTACGTGTAGCCCAGAGCACCGATTCCTGCTACGTGCTAGACCATTTCTGCACCGGCATCTGGCTAGAAAAGAAACACTTGATTTTTTAAGCACTGTCCACTCCCAACGTGGGGCTCGAACTCAGCCCTGAGATCAAGAGCCCCACGCTCCACTGACTCAGCTGGCCAGGAGCCCCGAAAAGAAACATTTTATGTAAAACTTGCAGGAGGATTAAATTCTGTCCTTTTGGACATTCTTCTCCAAATTGAAGTAGCAAGGTCCCAAAAGTCAAAAGTCATAGATTTGACTTTTATGTTCTTTTTTTTTAAGATTTTATTTATTTATTTGACAGAGAGTGAGGGTGTGGCAGAGGGAGAGGGAGAAGCGGACTCCCCACTGAGCAGGGAGCCCGATGCGGGGCTCGGTCCCAGGACCCTGGGATCATGACCTGAGCCGAAGGCAGACGCTTCACTGACTGAACCACTTAGGCGCCCCTTGACTTTTATGTTCTATTTTTCTTAATTACCTGTAGAAAGTGTTTGTCCACATGCCACTTAAATCAGTCTTGCATATTGCCAAGGATTTGGGCATCCCTGTTTCAGGAATTTCTGGCTAAAATTGTTTCTTGCCTTATTTAGGAGTGATGATTTATCAGGCTAATGGTCTGCAGTGTTGTACATGATCATTAGAAGTGTGATTCCCACGCAGCTGACAGAGTCATGCCCTCACCTGAGTTAGATTGGGAAGGTGGGAGCTCTCCGTTCAGCATTAGTGAATGCTTATGTTTAAGTTATTTTAAATAACATGTTTTAGTTTTTTGCCTAAAGTTGAGCCCCCTCAGCCATTATTGTCATTTTAAAAAATAAAAGTAATAAATGGCTATGGTTAGAAGAATCCAAAAAGTTCTAAAATGAGAAGTAAAAACCTCCCCTTTATGTAGAGATGCTCACATAAACCGTTTTTCCAAGATCCCTCCAAGGGGTTGTGTATATAGTAGCATTTTTTTTAGATAAAACTTTTTTGTACTATGGTATATAATGTAAAATTTACCATTTTAAAAGATTTTTTTAAAGTAATCTCTACGCCCAGTGTGGGGCTTAAACTCATGGCCCCAAGATCGAGTCGCATGCTCCACTGACTGGGCCAGCCAGATGCCCCAAAATTGACCATTTTTAAGTGTACAGCTCAGTGGCATTAAATACATTCACATTATCGTGCAACCATCCACCTCCAGACCTCCTTCCTCTTCCCAAACAGAAACTCCGCCCCTTAAACACTAACTCCCCGTCCCCCTCCCCTAGCCCCTGGCGCCCACCATCCTACTTTCTGTCTCTGTGAACTTGATGACTCCAGCTACCTCGTTTAAGTGGAATCATACATTATTGATCTTTTTTTTTTTTATAAGATTTTATTTATTTGACAGAGACACAGTGAGAGCAGGAACACAAGCAGGGGGGAGGGTCAGAGGGAGAAGCAGGCTTCCCGCGGAGCAGGGAGCCCGACACGGGACTCGATCCCAGGACTTCGGGATCATGACCTGAGCTGAAGGCGGACCCTTAACCAACTGAGCCACCCAGGCGCCCCTGTGTCGAACCTTCTTGAAGGCATACACCCACAACAGACGTCTGGGTCCAAGGGCAAGCACCTCTTCAATTCCGCAAGCTACTGCTGTCTCAGATATACTCCAGACCTGCCCAAGTAGACCCAGTTGTAACACAAAATGCACCACAAACCAACTGCTCTCCCCTGGGCAACAGCTCTCCTTACCCAGTTACTCTGACCATCTCAAAGTCAGTAACGAAGCGGCATGCAGCCTGTTCACCGTATTTACAAACAGAACATAGCTCGTGTTGGCAAAGATGTGGAGGGATGTGAACCCCTCCCTGCACACTGTTGCTGAGGATGCACACTGCGGCAGCAGCTGTGGGAAACAGCAGGGTGCTCCCTCAAAAAATTAAAAACAGAATTCCCATATGATCCAGCAATCCCACCTCTGGGTTTACATCCAAAAGAAATGAAAGCAGGGTCTTGAACAGGTATGTGCACCAATCCTCACAGCATTATTCACAAGAACTAAAACCCAGAAGCCAAGTGTCCATCAACAAATGAATGGGTAAGAAATGGAGGATGTATACACAGTAGAATATTACTCAGCCTTAAAAAGAAAAGCCAATCTGACACCTGCCACAACATGGATGAACCTTGAGGATGTGATACTGCATGAAGTCAGCCAGTCACAAAAAGATCAATACTGGGGGCGCCTGGGTGGCTCACTCGGTTAAGCGACTGCCTTCGGCTCAGGTCATGATCCTGGAGTCCCGGGATTGAGTCCCGCATCAGGCTCCCTGCTCGGCTGGGAGTCTGCTTCTCCCTCTGCCCCTCCCCTGCTTGTGCTCTCGCTCATTCTCTCGTGCCCATGCTCGCTCTCTCTAGCAAATTAAATCTTAAAAAAAAGAAGGTTCGACACGAGACAGGTGCAGGATTGTTTGTGATAGCAGAAACATGGAAGGGTCCCTGTGTGTTAGTGGGGAACACGTGAGTGAACTGTGGTCTCTCTGTTGGGTGAGATACTCTAGTCAATGTGAAGGACCCAGAACTGCGTCAAAACTGATCGCTGAACAGTACGTCCTTCATGGCATAATTTATGTAAAGTAAGCTTAAACCCACCGTGTGCGAGTATACATGTGTGTCAGCGCAGTGACTGCGTTAATGGGAGCAGTCAGGACCTAGCTGGGGATGGCAGTTCCTCTGGTGAGGGAGTGTGGGCAGCGGCGGGCAGGGGACTTCACTGTGACAGCAGTGTTCGACTTGCAAAACACCTCAGCTGGGTTGGAGCTGAGTGGTATAGGCTTTGTACTTCTCTTTGCTTGTTAAAAGATCTCCTAATTTGCAATAAAGGTTAAATGTACCACTATCCAGCCTGCTGCCCAAGGAGCAACAGAGAGTTTCAGACATGGCAGGGGTTGGCGGACCGAGGCCTGTGCTCTCCATCTGGCCCGCTGGACCCCGTTTCCATATCGTCCGTGGCTGCGTGGCGAAGCTGCCTGTGCCCTCCGGAGGCAGATACGCGTCGCTGGGGAATGTGTGCGGTGGGGCAGTTCCTGGAGCCGGACGCCCTTACCTCGTGGGTCTGTGTGCAGGAAGCTTGCCAAGCCTCGAGACGCAGCAGTGCAGTGTTTCCTAGAAGCAAGAGTGGAGGTTCCCCCGTTGGAGGAGCAAACTCAGGGTTGTCAGGAATCCCTAAAACATTCTCACTGACCACGTGACACAGGTTAGAGGTTAGAGAAAATTGAAAAGCAGACTTAATACTCATGAGTAACTAGCACCAAGGGCATACGGAGAGCGCTCACACAGGTCAACAGTGCGAACCCGGCTGGTGGGGTGAGTGTTGGGATCGCAGTTTGGATGGGAGCTGTGTGGGGGCAGGGGTGTCAGGAGTGTGTCGGGAGCTCTGACGAACCGGGACCCCCTCGTCCCGCTTGCAGGTCACCAGGGCAGCTTCTGCATGCTGTGCGTCATGCAGAACCATATGGTCCAGGCCTTCGCCAACAGCGGCAACGCCATCAAGCCCGTTTCCTTCATCCGAGATCTGAAAAGTAAGAGTCGATTCCCGACCGGATGGCAGCTAAACCCTAGTCTGCGGTGGGTACGGGGGCGTTGGGGGTGTGGGGAGGAGTCTGCAGTGAGGCGCGGGAGTCCTAACTCACGTCACAGTGCTTTGGCGCACGTGGTAGCGCAGACTGAGAGGCTGGTAGGGGGCGGGGAGGGGAGGGGAGTGCTGACCTCCCTTTGAAGGACGGGGAAGCTCAGGCCAGGTGGGGGGCAGGAGCTGTGTCTCAGGGAGGAAGGGGAGGCCAGGGCTCTTCTGAACATCCCCGGACTGGTTAGTGCAGATTTCCTGTTCACTCGGTAGAAGACACGGGGCGGCTGGTTTCTGGAACCTTGTGCAAGCATCCTTGTGACCGCTTGTGCTCTGTGCCGGCTCCCGGGAGACTGGCTCATCGGTGGGTGCCTGGTGTTGTGGGGCACCCGTGCTTTGCTGTTAAGTATGGAGAGCATAGGCCCTCGGGTCTCGTTGAGAACACACCTGCCGTGTGGACTCGGGGTTGGGATGCACGGTTCATGAAGATCTCAGTTCCCTCGCCTCTTACCCCTGGCCCAGCAGGGGGTCCGTGATGAGCACGCAGCAGCGGGTGACTGGGGGAGAAGGCATGAGCTCTTCCCTGCCAGTCTGATGCTTCTTTCTTTCTTTAGAGATCGCTCGGCATTTCCGCTTTGGAAACCAAGAGGACGCACACGAGTTTCTCCGGTACATGATCGACGCCATGCAGAAGGCCTGTTTGAACGGCTGTGCCAAGTACGTGCCTTCCGTTCACCCACTTTCCTAAGGGGCTTCAGACCCCGCCGCCGCGGAGGTAGCCACCCCTCTGTTCCCCTGGGCGTTCTCTGTAGATACCTGTGTCCAGGTCCTGCACCTGCTGAAGCTCGGATGCGGGGCTGCTCCTGCTTCCCGGGGCACGGCCTCCCCCGCACACCCTCCTCACCAGGGGTGGTTTGGCGGGGCCAGGCGCTGGGGGGAGCCCTGTGCCAGCAGCCCCCTGCAGGAAAGATGCTGGCAGATCTTTCTGAGGGCCTTCGGCTGTTGTCCTAGACTCTTCCCATCTTTTAAAAATCACCTGACTTTGATACAGAGGATGGGGTGGTAGGAATTTCAACATCTTTATGAAAGCACTTGAAAGCTCATAGGGACATTTGAGGGTGGGAAGTTTACAATTTTTGAGGCTGCGTTCTGCGTGGTTACAATGTCTTCATTTTTGATTTGAAAGCAGAGACAAACACATACGACAGGTTGCTGACTTCATGCTGTGTCTCCCCTTTTGTGAAACGGGGTCAGGGATGTTTTTGTACCACTCCTGGCTCCTGGGTTCAGACAAAAGGAAATAGGCCGAAAATGCTCCCTGTTCCAAGGCTGTTCCCTGGGCTTAGGGTAGAACTGCGTCCTGGACTCTGGAAATACCCCTTAAACAGCGTAAGAAACATCCGGAATGTCCTTCAGCAAAGTCGAGTTGTAGCAGTGATCGTGGGCAACCTCTGGTCTCAGTGATGCGATTCTCTTTAAATCCTGAGAAAACTTTCCATGGGTTCCTCTAGCGTCTGTCCCTTGCTGTGCTGAGATGTGCAGCGAGGTCCCTGCTGGCAGATAGACGCTGGTTCTGCCCTTCCCGTGCCTCTTCCCACCCCGGGCTGTAGCTAATGATCTGAGCTCTTTGCTGATGCCTACTGCGTGCCAGGCACTGTGTTCACACTGGGTACTTCCAGGGAAAGACTGGGTTCTCGAGTAGGAGGAGCTCAGAGTGAGGGGGCAGGCAGATACTGGCCAGTGTCTACAAGGTCATGTAGTAAGTACTGTAGTGGACAGACTCTGTGGGAGCCATTCCCAGAAGAATTCTGCTGTGCTCTTACCCACAGGAGGCCTCCTTCCTAGGAGGAGTTCCCTGCAGGGCTCAGATGGGGGGAGGGAAGAGGCAAGGAATGTGGCTGGTCCTGGGCGAGGCCTCCCTGCCAAGCAGGTGGGTACAGCACGTCCCCGGCAGGGTTTCCCAGCCTTGGTCATGCAGCAGAATCCCCTGGGACGGCAGCTGACCCTGCCCCCATGCCAGCCTCGTTACCCAGACTCTCCAAGGTTGGGCCGGTAGGTAGGGTGGATGTTTGGGATTTGTGTCCAGGTTCGTGATCTGGGCAGCAGGGTAGGTGGCGGTGTGCCCTTTGTGGTCCGGGGCACAGAAGTGGCTGTGCATTGGAGGAAGGATGAGCGTGTCTGACGTCAGGTGAGCCAGTGCAGGGGGTTGTGGGATGCTTTCCACACACCCCTCCGTGAGAAGGGTGTTCCTGCTCTTACTGAAATGAGAAAAAACGGGAGCTTGGGTGCTTCAGTCGTTAGGCATCTGCCTTCAGCTCAGGGTCCTGGGATCGAGCCCCGCATCGGGCTCCCTGCTCGGCGGGAAGCCTGCTTCTCCCTCTCCCACTCCCCCTGCTTGTGTTCCCTCTCTCGCTGTGTCTCTCTCTGTTAAATGAATAAATAAAATCTTAAAAAGAAAAAAAGAGTTACATCAGCTGAATGATTCAATTTGATTTGCCGGTTTGGAAGCAGCTTTTTTTTCCTTTTTGTTTTGTTAAGAGATTTTTAGTTGAACTTGTGAGCAGAGAGTATTTTCTAATATTTCTACTTTGTGGACCTTGCTGGTACCGGCTTTGTGACCTGGTACATGACGGGTGTTTGCACGTGTTCCCGGCGCACCTGACACAGCGTGCTGTCCTGTTGGCTGGGTAGTTGGGTGCGCGTCTGCCGTGAGACCTGCCGGCTGTCTTCCCTGCCCGTGCTCGCTTCCTCCCAGCTCGGTCTCTCGCTGGGACGGTGTGCTCGCTCTCCCATCACTGACGGGCGCCCACCTCCTTGTGCCTCCTGAAGCTTTTGCTTTGTAAACGTGGCTGTGGCCACATACCCACAACCGTCATGTCTTTGTCGAAAGCTCCTTTATTTCATAGGCCAGTTCAGCCCCTTCACATTTATTGTGACGACTGAAGTTTGGTCTTGACCTGGCCGTGATGCTGAGATTTATAATTCTCACACACGGCACGTTGGCTGTGTTTCTCCCTCTCTCTCGTTTCCCTTTACGCGTTAATGTTTAAGCTTTTGTGTGGTACTCAGGAAGACCTGTATCTCCGTTTGGGTGACGACTCTCCACGCGCCCTTGTGCATGGCCTTGCTCCTCTTTTCTGGTTCTGTTTGTCAGTGTTTGGGGGGGCCCAGCACCTCTGTCCTTCCCTCTCCTCTCTCACCCGCCTCTTAGCTACATTATGTCTTCGCTTACTGTTCTCTCCTCCCACGTTTGTCTCCACCTTTGCTTCAGTCTTTCCCCCATTAAATAGGCCTGGGGGCGCCTGTCTTCCTGCCTGGGCGTCCCAGGCGGCCTGGGCTGGGGGGTGCGGGGTTTCGGAACCCAGGGGCCAGTCCCTCTCTTGACCTTGCAGGGACCTTACTGAGAGGATTCAGGATCTTGTTTTACTCTTTAAAGTCTGATGGTTTCACTGGGAACGTCTTTTGAGCTGATCGTTATTGGTCAGTTCGGTAGACCCCTGAGCAGTGACGTCGAGAGGTTGAATGTGCGGCACGTGTTGACTCGAGCACCACGTGCACAGAAGCAGCTTCTGCCAGCGCGAGCACCTACATCCGAACGCCATCACCTTCGGATCAGCTCAGCTTGAGCGTGGTGGCTTGAGAATGCACGACGATGAATTAGGCCGATGTACATCAGCGTGTCGTGCTTCCCGCGCGGTTTCCCACCTGCCGTCAGCAGTGACGCTCCACACTCGTCACAGAGTCCTGTCACCCCCGGGGCACAGGATGGTATTGGTTCTGTGTTAAAGGCCTGTGTCAGGGTCTCCAGTCACTGGCAGCCTCCTGCGGGACCACCTCCTCTCTGGCGGCTCTTTTCCTCGACTTCCCCTCTGGCTGCTTTCCTGCCGTGTCGTGCCCCTCCCCCATGTTCACTTGAATCTCTTCTCCCTTAGGCCCCTTGGAATTCCCACCTCATTCCTGACATGATTTCATCTTTTCCCTCCACGTTAGTTAACTTTCTCCATTTGCCCTTTTTTATTTTTAGTTGTGGAACTTTTTATGGTGGTCTTTCCTCTCCCCAGACACTTGTCTGAGGGTCTTTAGGTCAGCTTGGGATCTCATATTGCTCTTTTCACCTGCCTTGGACTTGCTTTCTAGGGGCTAATCTTCACCAGCTGGGGTGCTGTGATTCTTGTTCACTGTTTTCATCCAGCGGTGCCCGTGTGGGACTGAGGCCACTTCGGCACCGCCCCCGGGCCTGGTGGCTCACATGGTTCTCAGTCCAGGGCGCCTTCGGTCCCGGAGCCCGAGCGCTGGACGGCCCCTGGTGTGACATGTGTCTCAGGACCTGGCAGGCTCCTCCTGCTGGGGATACTGGGCGACTCCGGGATCACCTCTAGTCCCTGCTCTCTGCCTCGGTGCTTCCCCAGATGGGCCTTAATCTCTAGCAGGGTTCCCGCAGGGGTATGGAAGACGGCTTGCTGGAATCTGGCTTTATTTCCTTCCTACGGCTGGTTTGAGCTTGGAGCTTGCTCTGCCCCGGGGTCCCGAGAGCGGGTTCTGTGCGGTGGTTTGCTGCGCCTGTTCTAACAGCCGGGCCGGCTCCAGGCCAGCTGGACTTCAGCAGCCGCCGTCACGTGTGGCTGGCCACGAGCTTCCAGTTTGCGCTGAGATTATGTCCTCAACGGTTTGGGGAAACGTCCCTCCTCTTGACGAATGGTGGTGAAAATACATGGTGGCAGTTGGTTTTTCATTTCCTAATTTTGCAAAACAGAAACATGCCCTTGTGTTAGTCCCCTGCTGTGTGGAGTTCCGCTCCTCAATGAGCTCCCGGAGTGTGGGCAGCACTGTGGTGGCTGGATCCGTGGCCATTGCCACACACTGCAGGGGGGCCTCGCGCAGGGCGCCATGCAGTGTGTGCAGGGGGTGAGGAGGAGAGCGCCGGGAGGCGGCACCGCCGAGCGCCTGGCCAGGCCCGGGAGTCAGGGCGTCAGGAGAAGCACCTGCAGAGCCGGGGGCGCAGGGGAGCGGCCTGCAGGAGGGGGGAGTGTGCCTGCGAGCGAGCGGCTGCTCTGTCCAGGGCTGGATTTGTGTCCCCGAGGAGGACTCTGGCGTGAGAGAGTCAGAGCCAGATTCGGTGGGTCGCAAGCAGACACCAGGAGCAGAGGCTCAAGACAGGGTGGTGTTTCCAGAATCTCCGTCACATGAACAGCCGTGGGGTGCGGGTGCCCAGCTTAGCAGCTCTGTGGGGCAGGTGAGCAGCAGCAGCTAAGGCCTAGGGTGGCCTCAGCTCCTGGTTGGTGAACGGGGCTGGGGGATTCGAGTACAGGCCGGCCTGACCCTGGAGCCCATGCCGTGACAGCTCTTGTCCTGCCAAAAGATGCGGAGGCGGGGGTCTGTCCTGCTCGCTCCCCCTCTTCAGATAAGAGGCTCGGGTGTGTGACAGCCAGCAAGGAGCGGAGCTGACCATGCAGGACTGAGGCGGGGTGAGCTAGGGGGCGGGCGGTGGGTGCCAGGTTGGGGCGGGGGGCGCTTCTGTCCTTGGGACTGGGTGGGCACTAGGGGCGTTTCTCTAGCCTCTTGTTTCCTGTGGAGAGCACGGGGGTCTTGAAGGCCTGAGGGGGCAGTGGTGGGGCGCGGCCCGGGCCCATCAGAGCAGCAGGGCACAGCTGGGGGTCTGCCGAGCGCTGGGGGGGAGTGCGTCAGACCCACGCTTGTGTGGTGGGCTTTCCCCAGGGTGTGCTGGGCTGGGGATGAAAGGGGCAGGGGCTGCCTCCTGGCTGCCTCTTGAAAGCTGTGGTCTCCTTCCCAGGTTGGATCGTCAAACCCAGGCTACTACTTTGGTCCATCAGATTTTTGGAGGCTATCTCAGATCGCGTGGTGAGTGAAGACGTTTTCTCTACCCCTTTGTCAAGGATGAGAACCTTAACCAGGAAAGACTAGGAGTTCATGCCCAGCTGGAGCCCCTTTCTGACGGGCAGACCTGGGGGAGCCATGGAGGCCCCAGCCTCCTCAGAAACACATCCTTGCCCATAGGCTCGCTGTTCCCGGGAGGAAGTTTGGAGCAGAATGTCCAGCACGGGTAGAGGAGGGTGGCATTATTTTTCCTTTGAGTTCCTTAGTTCTTCACATGTGGCCTCTGCCCTTCAGCTGGGAAGTGGGGCCTGTCACTGGGCTGGGCGGCAAGGCGCTGGGTTGGACAGATGTTCCCTTGTGATCTCTGGTTGTCAGCGAGCTCTCTCCCCAGACACCGGGGTTCACCAGGGGCTGGCGAGGTCTTAGAGACCTGGGGGTGGCGCGCTGGGGGCACCCGCACCCACCCCACCACCTCCGTATTTCGTTGCAGTGAAGTGCTCAGTGTGCAAGAGCGTCTCGGACACATACGACCCCTACCTGGACATAGCGCTGGAGATCCGGGTACGGCCCACAGCTCCGCTGTGTCGTGTTTGCCTTCTGCTGGGGAGGCTGGGGAGGCTGGGGGGTGGGGAGCAGGGGAACCAGTGAGGGCATATTACCTAGGTAGATAAGGAAAGAAATACTGGGGATCCTACTGCCTTAAAGTAGGGGCCACTGTTTTTGCATGTTGATTTTTAGCCTTTTCTCTGTGCGCATTCCTTTCGTTTAACACAGGAAGATACAATGCACCTTTGTGTCCCGAGGCATGAGGGGTGAGCACACCGTAGATGGGAGGGCCCAGGGCCGCTCACGCGCGTGCCCCGGGGAGGCCAAGCCTCCGTCCTGTTCCAGCCCTCTGTGGCTGCAGCCGCGTCGGGGTCATCGGTGCCCCGGGGTGCAGGGGAGCCCTGCCGGGCCGTACCCTGTGTCCGTGGAGCCAGCTCGGCCGCCCGCTCCCTGCTCCTCTGTGGGAAGGCGCGAGGGTCCCAAGGCAGCAGCCAGCAGGCCGGTGTGGATGCAGGCCGGTGGCTGGGATTTGCTGCCTCAGCCTGACAAAGACCTTACAGTTGGCATTTCTTGAGTCAGCCTTTTTCTTCCGTTGACGCGATTCCATTTTTGTCCTCCTCAGCAAGCTGCTAATATCGTGCGTGCTCTGGAACTTTTTGTGAAACCAGATGTCCTGAGTGGAGAGAACGCCTATATGTGTGCAAAGTAAGTTTCGTTTTGCTCCCAGCAGAGCGAGCCCGCCGTCAGGGAGACCTCGAGTAAGCCGCCTGCCCACGCTGCGGCCGGGCCGTCTCTGCTCAGGGCCCGCCGTTAGTCCCTTGCGGCGCTCAGATGCTCTGAACGGCACAGATGAAGTGCGGCCGCGGTTTTGCTAGCTGACGTCTGTTAACGTCGCCCTTGGGATGCGCCAGGCACCATTCTGAGCGCTCCTCACCCGGGAAGTAGGTCCCAGCGGCGGCACAGAGCGGGGAGGGGACCGCACGTGGCCATCAGCTCTAGCCTCTCTGTCGCCCCCATCCCAGGTGAGCCGCCTTCGGTGGCCCGGGCCTCCTGAGGGCCACAGAGTTAGCATGTGGGTGCTGTGGTTCGTGTGTAGCTCCTTCAGAAGCTGCAGTCACTAAAGAATAGTTTTCTTTATTACGCTTTTCAGATCGATTATCCCGTGCCAAAACCCTGCTTTTCCCCCTAAGTTCGTCTCTCCGTGCCCTAGAGGCTGTTTGCTCGCCTTCGTCTTCTCTCCCCCTCACTTCCGTGTGTTTGGGCTTCACTCACAATGATTTTGCTCAGCCAGCCCCGCTCCAGGTGCTCCTTCCTGTGTCCCAGGGCTGCTTCCCGTGCGTGCGACTTTGTGCCGTCCGTGGGAAAGAGCTTCCTTGTTGCTCTACGGTCTGCGGTCTCCCGCTTTTCCCTGGTCCTTGGTTCCCTACGCTGGCTTCCCTTCACTTAAGTCACAGGGGTTCGTGTCTCGGGATGCAGACGGCACATGCCTCAGCCAAGGAGACCCTGTGCCAACAGAGCAGGTGTCACCGCTGTGGGCCTGCGTGAGGACAGCATTCCTCAGAGCACCAGCTGATCCCTTTCCACTCGCCCTCCTCACAGATGCAAGAAGAAGGTCCCAGCCAGCAAGCGCTTCACCATCCACAGAACATCCAACGTCTTAACCCTCTCCCTCAAGCGCTTTGCCAACTTCAGTGGGGGGAAGATCACGAAGGTAAGCCTTTGCCGTGGCGTCCGGTCTGTGGGGTCAGCCGCGTGGAAGGAATACAGGTTCCCAGCACCACCCCAGAGCCAGTGCCTGGAAATTTCTGGAAGACAGGGCTCAGGAGTCTGCATGTTTGCAGAATCCCTGAGTGGTTGTCACGCACGGTCAACTTCAAGAACCACTGTCTCACTGGGTTCTTTTGCCAACCTCTGCCTGTGTGTGGCATGTTCCCGATACAGAAGCTCAAGGTTTCCTTCAGAATAAGTGAGAACACTACACTGTGGGGCTCTGGTCTACCACGTGCTGTTTCGTGGCTGACATACGTGTAGTTGTGTGCCGTGGCTTTTTGTGGAAGGTAGAATAAAAACTTACTTTTGTACAATGGCATTTTATTTTATTTTACTTTATTTCTTTAAGTCATCTCTCTACCCCCAACATGGGGCTTGAACTCACGACCCCGAGATCAAGAGTGGGACGCTCCCCCGACTGCACCCGCCAGGTGTCCTGCACAGTGGCGTTTTAATAGAAGATGCCGTATCATAAAAGTGGTTAGAACCGACTTAGATGGTTTGGGGCAAGGCACTTGTCAGAGCCTCAGCTTCCTCACTGGCAGTGATGGGACTTGCTGATATCAGCATTTCCCAGACTGGTGTTCCGCAGAATGTTTGTGCTGTATGTTTCCAAGATAGCGTATTTTGTATGTACAACTGTATTGTATTTTGAAAGTGGTCTGTGCTCAGCCAAGTTTGGGAACTGCCAAGCTGAAATTCAGCAGTCCTTTTTAATTGCAGGCCTTCTCAGAGCCTTTATTAATAAGTTCTGTTGTATTTTGAATTTCCAGGAAGGAAATTTATTGTGAAGAGTTTTTTTTTTTTAAGATTTTATTTGAGTCAGCAAGTGGGCATGAATAAGTGGGGTGCAGGGGGCGGCAGAGGGAGAAGCAGACTCCACTGATCAGGAAGCCTGACATGGGACTTGATCCCAGGACCCCAGAATCACAACCTGAGGCAAAAGCAGATGCTCAACCGACTGAGCCACCCAGGTGGCCCTATACACGCTGACTTTTTAAAAAATGAAATACAGGGGCGCCTGGGTGGCTCAGTCAGTGAAGCATCTGCCTTGGGCTCAGATCATGATCTCAGGGTCCTGGGATCTAGTCCCACATCAGGCTCCCTGCTCGGTGGGTCGTCTGCTTCACCCTCTGCCTCTGCCCTTCCCCCCACTTGTGTGTGTGCACTCGCTCTCTCAAATAAATAAATAAAATCTTAAACAAGAAGAATTGTCAAATTTTGAAATAAACTCTGGCATGACTTTTGTTCTGACACACACAGTTACGATTTTGACTTACTGTGACCATTGGCTCCATGGAGTGAGCGCCTTTTTCTCTGAAGACCCGGACCCGGGTGTTGCTTCCCTGTTCCTTACAGTGGCAGGGAGGGCATGAGCTATTCCTCTCATCTTACACGTGGGGCCCACGCAGGGCGAGGGTGGCCTTGGACGCAGGGCAGGGATAGGAGAGATCGTGAAGCGCTTCATAGATTGATAAAATAGGGTTTTGCGTCGGTTGGTTGGTTGGTTGCCTCCTGTTCTTTAACCCTTGGCCAGGGGCTTCTTGGCACAGCGTTGCCGCAGGCCCTGTTGCCCCCGGATTGTCAAAGACCAGCTGAGGAGTTGTGTATTTTACGTGGTCGGGGATGGAGAGGGTGAATGGACCCTTTCCCCCATGGATGAATTTTCATTGCCTTACCCTTGGCTTTTTCTCCAGGATGTGGGCTATCCGGAATTCCTGAACATCCGTCCGTATATGTCTCAGAGCAGCGGAGAGCCTGTCATGTACGGGCTGTATGCGGTCCTGGTCCACTCGGGCTACAGCTGCCACGCAGGCCACTACTACTGCTACGTGAAGGTCAGTGCTCCCATGTGCAGGTGCGCTTGCATCACGTGGCAGTGCCTGTTGGTACAATTCCCAAGTGTGACCTCCGTGGAAAGTAGCCTTGTTTGTCTTTGTGTTCAGGGCCTGTTGTTGCTTTGGGGAATGGCGGGCAAAGATGTCTTTGCAGCCCATCCCAGTAGGGGCTCTAGTCTTGTCCTTGGATGGGACCCCGGAGGGGCTGCTTCCAGGGCCCTATGCTGGAACCCTGGTGGAGGCTCAGGAAGGCTGCATATTGGTGGGAGATGCTGTGCTGCTCAGACCTGAAATACTCTTTAGAGGGGAAAGCTCGAATCTGCTGGGGCAACAGGGATTCAAAGCACACTTCGTAGTCACATTCAGAGCCCGACGAGCATTAGACATTTTAATCTGAAGTCATTGGTAGTTCATTAGCACGTGGATAGATGCAGCAGTTAACTGCAGATTTTTTATTTCATTCTTTAAAAACTGCGGATTACGGGATGCATGTTGATTGTCCCGTTTTGTTTTCTGCTACACCCTGTGCTCCTTCAGGCAAGCAACGGACAGTGGTACCAAATGAACGATTCCTTGGTGCATTCCAGCAACATCAAGGTGGTTCTGAACCAGCAGGCCTACGTGCTCTTCTATCTGCGGTGAGTAACTCCTGCCCCTGCCCCCGTGAGCTCGTTCCCTCTGTTCTCCCTGGCCTGTTTCTGTGTGGGCATAATGGAGAGCTCACCAGGGTTGGGGTGGGGGTCGGGGGCGTCCACAGGGAAGCACTCCTCTAGACCAGGCCAGCCCACTGCTGAGGAACAGCCAGCGCCTCTGGGAAGGTCAGAGCAGGATTCCATCTGCGTGCTCCACACCGAGCGGACTTTGAGCAGAAACAGGAAAGTTACCTGTTCTTCTTGACTGTTGCCCCGAATGAGATGTGTGTGGGCGTCGGCTTGCTGACGCACCTTCCTCTGTGGGCAGTGAAGGAACCTGTCAGAGGGTGGAGGCCGCAGCCGGGCACCTTCTCTTGGGGCCGGTTGTCACCAACCTGGAGGTTGGATGACGTGGAGACTGGAGGCATTTTTGCTGCTTTGTAGCTGTTCAGCTGAATTTGGGTGCAGTGACTGAGGGGTCTCTAGCTTCCTGGTAAAGCGGGAGTCTAGTCTTGGAAGGGTTCCGTCTCTGCTGGGCTCTCTGTTCACGCTGAGCAGATCCCCAAGGCTCCGTGACAAGCCCACGTTGTTGTGAGGGCAGCATGGGAATTCAGAGAAGCACGCCCGGGCATCGGGGTTCTCTCTGGGATGCCTCTGGGGCTTCAGTAAGACATCCCCAACTGGTTTCCTTCCTTCCACAGAATTCCAGGCTCGAAGAAGAGTCCTGACGGCTCCCTCTCCAGGACTCTCTCCTCCGTTCCCAGCCGTCCAGGCGTGGTTCCAGACCACTTGAAGAAGAACATTGGCAACGGGGCCGTTGGCTCCCCGCTGACCGGGAAGGTACGTGTTTCAAAGGGTCCTTCCTGCCTCTGCCTCTTGGGACCATGGAGCCCCCAGACCTCTTCATGCTCGGGGACTTAGCCCGAAGGAAGGAGAGCTCCGTGTGTCCTGTTTTATTCCATGTTCTCTGTCAAATTGGTCACGCGCTGACCTTGGAAGCGGAGGAGGAGGGACCGTGATGAGGAAGACCTGACCTAGCGAGCAGATCAGACAGTAGCTCGGCGTGCCTGTGTCCTAGGCCAGCTGCCGTGCACGCTCACCCTGAAGCACCTGGCGAGAAGTGCTTTTTCTCCTCACAATTCAATATTGAAAATGTGGACAGTGTTTAGCAGTGTTAATCCCCTGCTTTTGATAATTATGCCGTGGTTATGTTAAAACATCTTTGTTCTTAGGAATATACATGGGCATATTTAGGAGTAAAGGGGCATCACGTCTAAGATATATTCAGATGGTTAGGAAAAGAAACGTCACACATACGTGCGTAGACACACACACGTGGAGTGAGTGAGCGAGGAAGCTGAGCTGATGTAAAATGTTAGCAATTGGGAAATACCCTCGTTTTCAAGTTATTTTTTTTTAAGGATTTTATTTATTTATTCATGAGAGACAGAGAGAGAGAGAAGCAGAGGGAGAAGCAGGCTCCCCACTGAGCAGGGAGCCCGATGCGGGACTCGATCCCAGGACCCCAAGATCATGACCTGAGCCGAAGGCAGACGCTTAACCATCTGAGCCACCCAGGCGCCCCAAGTTATTTTTGTTAGAAGTTATTTTTGTGTGTATTTGAATTTTTCTACTACAGATCAGTTTTATTAGCAGAGTAGTGAGCAATTTCCTTACTACAACACAGTTTATAACTCAAAAACAGGTCCTTTCTGCTGACTGCGTCTGTCATTCTTCCCCTTCAGTCTGAAGGTCACATCTGAACGCAGGCTGTGGGGCCTTCATGGTCCACAGGGCGTTGGTCCTTACGCAAATCTGCATTTCCCTTCCAACATGTGAGAAATAGAGGCATTGGGATTGACGTGGCAAAGAAAAGCCACGGCCTGATGGCCAACGGGGTTGTCACTGTGGCCCAGGCCAGGAGTCGGTACCACGGGGCCACGCTACTGGCCAACCACATTCGCATCACGAAGATAACGTGCCACACATACTGCAGTCGCACAAAAGCCATTTTACTTTAAATGACATTGTGTAAGTTCTATAAACTTAAATGTTCAACGAGAAGATCTTAACAGTGCAGCAGGAAGATGTGTTCTCTTTAGAGAGAACGTAAGTAAAGGATAAATTATTTTTAAACATAGGGAAAAAAAGAGAAGAAGAAACTCGGAGGGAAGTAGAAGTGAATTCTCAGTAAGCCTCCAGAAGAGAGAAGACCGTAAGACAAAGTATAGAAAAACAAACAATAAATTGGATAAATTTTGAATTTCTGTATGTGAAATATTAGAAATAAAAAAACTTCTAAAAACATTTGCAGCAAGTACAATAAAAGGTTAGTGTTTCTAGTACATAAAGGACTTGTTCGGACGAGCTCAGATCACAGGGTATTAGGGTTGGTGTAGTAAGAGCGAGCAATGGTGTTGAATTAGCAAAGATTTTGAAAAAGAGCTACTTGCTGCCGGTGAGAGTGCAGCAGGTGCCCTGCACAGTGTGCGTCAGCATCCATGGAAGCATCCGTAGCCTGGTAACCGTTCCCAGAACACAAGCAGGGAATTTCCTAAGTAGGGCAAAACGTTTAGTCTGTTGGTTGTTCGTTCATGGAAATGTTCAGCAGCCAATCAAATGGTTGTTAAGCCCTGACTCTAGAAGACCCCGCACTAGTCGGGAGGCAGGAGTGGGGAGCAGCACAGACCTGGGCCATGTAGAGCATTTAAACAGAGCCAGCGGTTCAGCCCCGGCAGCGATGAGTCTGTGGAGGAGAAGGATGGGGTACTTGGTCGGGCGCTGTTCATTTCCGTGGCTGGAGACAGTACAGGCTGTAGAAACTTCACGCAGCAAGATGGGTGCTGGTCAGACGTTCGAGACCTTCCCCAAGCGCGTAGGACGATGCTTCAGGCAGCGCGTAGGTGGAACTGGGCGCACCTGTGTGGGCCAGAGCCATCCCGGAGATCAGGGCCAAACAGAAGGTGCCAGCATATTCGTCGGCACTTACGTTTGGACAGTGGGTGGAACTCTGGTACTTTTTTTTTTCCTTTATACTTTTTTGTATTTCTTCACTCTTGATGGAAACATCCTGCTTTCAGTAAAGGTGACCATAAAGAGACACACCCCCATGTGCACAACTCAGAGAACACTGAGTGTTCAAAGAAGAAGCAGTGTCTTTACCGTGTGTCCATGTAGATAATCTGTCTTGAATTGCTTGGCAGAGACCCTGCCTGCTGCAGAAGGTGCTCTGACTTTGTGCGGGAACTGCCAGCCTGCGCTCCCTCCAGGGTGTGATCATGTCCTCTGCTCTCCTCCAGCGACTGGACTCTGTGCCGATGAAGAAGCTGCCAGCCACTGAGGAGCTCGGCGTGCCCATTTCCAGGAACGGCTCCGTGTCGGGTCTGAAGTCTCAGAATGGATACGTTCCTCCAAAGCCACCCGTGGGGTCCCCTTCCCCCCGACTCTCCAAAACACCCCCCCACACACCAACCATTCTGGATGAGCCTGGAAAGAAAGTTAAGAAGTCGATGCCCCTGCAGCACCTCTCCCCGTCACGCAAAGCTTCTCAGGGGTTCCATGGGACCAGCAACGGGAGTGGCCGCAGGAGTGAGAGCCTCAGGCAGGGCTCCTGGGACGGCAGGGGTGCCGCCCTCTCTACCTCACCCAGGCTCCCAGCCGGAGTGACTGCCAACGGGCATGGGCCCAAGGCGGGTGGCGAGAGCCCCGAGCTCGATGGGAGGGATTCCAGCAGCTCCAGCCCAGAGCACTCTGCCAGCAATGACCCCACCAAGGCCCCCCAGACGCCCAGGAGCAGAGCGGCCCACTTGGGGGATTCTCAGGGAACACACTCCAGAGCGCTGCCGGATGGAGACGACCCCAAGGTGGTGAAGCCCAAGTCCCCTATCCTGAGCCGCACCGCCACCGAGCCCACAAACATCATGTCTCCTCCACCAGCCAAAAAACTGGCCCTTTCTGCCAAGAAGGTGGGTGTGTGGGAATCTGCCCGCCGGAAGTGTGTCTCTAGGGCTCACAGAGCAGGTTTGGTTTTAGTCTGGGGAGAGTGGGGGAATTGTGTTGAGGCCTTTGGCCTCCCCCGATCAGGGCAACGAAGTTGTAGGCGTTTGCAAACTACACAGGGCTGTCCTGGGGCCGAGGAGGGGTTTGGGGGACCCTGGTGTGATACACACTCCATACAGCTGCTGGGGGTTGGGGAGAGGCGGCAGGTCCCCATCTTTGTCCGTAGACAGAATCTCCTAAAGAAGCCTCAAGGGGAAGACAGGGCAGGTGCGGGGGGCTTGGCAGGGAATCCAAGCGCGGGGGCTGTACAGGACGCGGGCTGGCTGGTGCCTCTGTGTGCAGCACCAAGCTCGGTGATGTAACTGTGCTGAGATTTTTGTTTAAATTTCCTTCCTTTTTTCCTTTTTGTTTCTAACCAAAAACACTTCTGATTCTTCTTCTACCATCCCCCTTCCCCACCTCCCCCCCTTTTTTTTCTCCTTCTGTCCCTTCATCCTCCTTTCTGGGCTCTTTCATTTTTTTTTTATTCTTTTTATTTTTTATTTTTATTTTCCCTCTTCACTCACGGCAACCTCTTTTAGACCACCAAGTTTTTATTTATGTCAATAACTGCAGGCCAGCACCCTGCGGAGGGCAGCCGACAATGACCTCCGTCCACCCCTCTCACCACTGTCCGACCTCACCTACCCCAGGAAAACCACTCACCCTGTCGCCGCCGCCTCCTGGCCTGTCTGTGCAATCAGGTGAGCCGCGGGCGCAGGCCCCCTGGGCCGGCCGCTCCTCCCCTGTGCTTAGCGTGTGCTTGGCTGGCGAAGATGCACGTGGTCTCCAGCCTTGCGGGATGGACAGTGGTGTGCGGCTGGACAGGTACAGGGCGGATCCTGCACCGACTTCTTGTTTTCTTGTCTCTCTCTTCGTCCGGTAGAGGAGCTCCGGCTGGTCGGAGGCAGCCTGCTCTCTGCAGTCTTGATCTTTTCACTTTTGTCTTCATTTTCCATCCACCTGCTCTGTCCATGCAGGGACGGGGATGTGCCCTGGGTCCCTCCCCAGTCTCATGACAGGACTCCAGAGTAGAAGAGAAAGGCAGGAGTCCCAGAAGGACCCTGCGTGAACCCAGAGTCCTGTGACCCCGCTGAGGGGTGTCTTGCTGCCAGGATCGTTCTGTATCTCCCACCGGCACTCTCCGGGCTCTTCTCTGACTCTTAGCCCCGCACGGGCTTCCCCCAGCGGTCCCGTCGCACTGGCTTCCGGAGCTTTGGGCGGGCGTCCAGAGCGGGGAGGCGTGGTTCTCTGGGAGCTCTGTTCAGGCTCCCCGGCAGACGTACCTCCCGTCCTGTTACACACGGGGTGCTTAGATCCCTCAGGGTGTTGAGAAGCAGACAGCTGAGTTACTGACACCTGCTTGCCCAGTGGCTGACGGAGCCCCTGGCGGCTGGGGAGGGAGGGAGGGAGGAAGCTGGGCGAGGCCAGGAGCTGGTTTGGGTGGTTTGGTGTTTGCCTTGGGCACTGATGTGCCCTCCCCACCCTCTGGCCGCTCCGGGCTCGGCCTCTCCCACCCTCACAGCCGGGCTGGACCCAGCACAGTATTTTTGCATGTGGACGGTCCTTAAGCGTGTAAGGCATTTACTGTGGGTTTTGTTTTTTGTTTTTTTTCCTTTTTTGACGTAGAGACTTTTTTAAAAACTTTCCAGAAGACAGTAAACGGGGCAGCAGTGCAGTTTGTGTAGGCGTCTGTCCTGGCTTAGTAACGATAGTCCTATTTGATTCCATAACCCTTTGAGGTCGGCATTATGGTCCCTCAGTCCCGAATGAGAAGAGGGAGGCCTATAGTAGAAGGTTAACTCTTGCAAGGTCCCCTCGCTGGCGGGAGGTGGGTCAGAGAGCCTAACCTGACGGAGCTCCCAGGCCCGCTCCTTCTGTGTCTCGCTGTGTGATCAGCTGATTTTCCGGAGCCCCCATATCAGAGGGGAATCCTAGTGCACGATGTACAGGCCTGCGCTGGCCCTTCTTAAGGCTGGTGTCGTGGGTGTAAACACCTTGAGGCTTGTGGGCAAATTTAGAGAAGTTTCTCATAACAGACCCATGTTGAAAATTAATAACGTTAGTTAAGGGGGCTCCTGGGTGGCGTGGTGGAGCGGCCGACGCTTGATTTCAGCTCAGGTCATGATCTCAGGGTTGTGAGATTGAGCCCTGCGTCGTCGTCGGGCTCCGTGCTCAGCAGGGAGTCTGCTGGAGATTCTCTCCTCTCCTCTCCTCCCCCTGTGCCCTTCCCCCACTCGCGTGCATGCATGCTCTCTCTTTCTCTCTAAAATAAACGAATCTTTTAAGAAGGACAGTAATACAAGTTTGGAAAAATACTTTGAACTGCTTGGTGACCGGAAACTAAAAGGTTCTGATTTTTGGTAACTTTGATTTTCAGTAAATTTGGATTTTGTCATTTTCCTCTTTTCTCAGTCAGTGGAATTTATGCGTACGTGAGATTCTCACGGCGGGGTGGGGGCGGGGGGAGGACCATGGGAAATCCTCACCTGGACGGGCAGGGGGCTGTGGGCGGGCAGGAGGGGCCTGCCTGTGCGTCAGAGCAGCGTCTCCCCACAGGGCGCTTTCACCTGCTCCCCCACCATCCAGCCACCTGAAGCTCCCCGTCGGTGCCCGCTCCGTGTCACTGTCCAGTAGCCCCCGACCTCCCGGGACGTCAGACCCACAGAGCTGCTCCTCCGCCGCTGCTCTCCTGCCTCAGGTCAATGGGGGCTCCCAGGCCCCTTCACACCAGCTGCCAGAGGCCAGCAGGTCCCCCCAGAGCCTCTGTAAGAAGAGGAAAAGGAACCGCAGGGGAGAGAGCCAGGGGCAGGGCTCAGAGACGAGCGCAGCAGCGGCAGCCTCTCTGGGGAAGAGGAGAAGGAAGAAGCGGAAGCGCGCGGAGGCTGCGGACGCCTCCCCCCTGCAGGAGGGGCAGATGCAGAGGCAGCACTGGCTCCTCGAGCGCAGGAAGGAGGCCCGGGCAGAGGTGCCCGCCGACAGACTGGAGGACCAGGGCGGACGGCAGCAAGAGAACAGCCGGCAGCCGGGGAGCGGGACCGACGGCCGCCCCGGAGGCAACAGGAAGAGGAGACGGAAGGGAGCCGAGGGCCTCGGTGCGGAAGACTGCCTCCAGCGGGACCCACCGTGGCACAGGTGAGAGTGGGAGCCGGGCCGCCCGGCACCTCCCCCAGCAACGCGCGGTCCGTCCCCGGTGGGGGGCTGGAAACCCAGGGCGCTGGCCAGGCTTCCAGGACAGGACCGCGTCCTTACGTGCCTCGCCGGGCCCCCAGGCCGGCAGGTGCTGCAGCCGCGTCCTCTGGCCTGGAGGACTCGCCTGGGTTGGGTGCGGTTGTGGGCTTTTCTCTCAGGCTTGACTGTCGCCCCGGAAGCTGGCGTGCTTTGTCCTGCTCCCGTCTGCGGGGTGTTCTTGGGGTGGCTCTTCTGCGGGCTCGAGGCAACGTGCCAGTTGGGAGTTCCGGGGTATCGACCTGAACCCCCACTCTCACCCTCAGTTTGCCCGGAGCTGACTGTTGACTCTGACTTCCCAGGAGCTGCTCTCCCTTGGACGTCGTCGAGCTAGAGGCCACTGTAGCATCTCCGAGGAAAAAGAAAAAGAAAAAAAGACAGCAGGAGTCACGGCAGGAGGTAGAAGAGAACGAGCACCTTGAAGCCTGCAGGGGCGAGAGGCAGAGGGGCTCTGCTCCCCCTGGGAGCCCGCCTTCCCCGCCTGTGAACGGCAGGCGTCCCGGGGACGGAGCAGGTACGCACCCGCGAGGAGCAGGGGGCTGGGCCCGGGGACGGCGTAGGTGTACGCGCCGGAGGGGGGCACCCGGGAGCACACCTGTGCCCAGCCCTGCCGCGTGGCTGCAGGTAGGTGTGGTGCAGGGGAGGGGCCGGAATGCAGCCCTCTTAGCGCTGCCCTAAGTCTGTCCCCTTGGGCAGGCTGTCTGCCCTGTGGGTCGCAGCTTCCTTATCTGGCAAAGCAGTCAGCCCAAACTACTCTTATATATTCTTGGAATACAGTGTTTTTTTCTGATTCAAGGCTCTTCCTGCCTAAACTTTTCCCTAAAAACTCAGGGCCATTCAGCCTGGAGTTTTTTTTGTTGTTGTTATTCTCGAACTTGAAAGGTCGGGTTCAGAAGTTAACCTTCCTCTGCCTGTTTTTATAGTTAGGCTGTTTTTGTTTTGTTTAAGATTTTCTTTATTTGAGAGAGAGCGCAGCAGAGGGAGAGGCAGACTCCCCGCTGAGCAGGGAGCCCGATGCAGGGCTTGACCCCAGGACCCCGGGATCATGACCTGAGCCCGAGGCAGACGCTTCACTGGCTGAGCCTCCCAGGCGGCCCAAGTTGGGCCTTTCTGAAGACAACGTGGCCCCTTGCCTTTGGGGTTCCCAGCTCTTCGGCTCTTCCCCAGGGCTTGGGTGCCCATGGCTAAGCGACTTCTGGTTCTGTTTCCTTCAGGGCTGGCTGGGCACGGCTGGGCTGTTCTGATACAGCGTGTCCATTAGCGAAGGGGAGAGAAGGTCACACCTGCTTGGGAAGGGATCCAGCACGGCAGCAGATTCTGTGAGGTCTGCTCTGCAGCCTGGGGATCCAGTTATGTTAGTGCTTTTGGGGGTGAACAGGCTGCTGGGAATGGTTTGTGTTTGTCAAACTCCTGATAAATGAGTCTATGACTAAACATTAATCCTGTGACAAGGGGCGCCTGGGTGGTGCAGTCGGTTAAGTGTCCAACTCTTAGTTTTGGCTCAGGGCATGATCTCAGGGGCCTGGAGTCGAGCCCCACATTGGGCTTCAGGCTCGGCGTGGAGTCTGCTTGGGAGTCACTCTCTCCCTCTCCCTCTCCCTCTGCCGCTCCCGCTTGTGCTGTCTCTCCCTCAAATCTTAAAAAAAAAAACAAAAAAAACAAAAACCCGTGAGAGAGCACTGCCGCTGGGCGATAAGGAGGGCGGCCAGTACGTTGGAAGAAAGGCTCCTCAAAGGTGGCGACAGAGCAGGCTGGCGGTGGTCATCAGACCACGGGGCTTGCTTTGTTGGCACATTGACCAGACGGAAAGGCTCTCCAGGCCTCCCGGCCCACCGCCCCGTGCAGGTCCTTGGGCTGCGGCGGCCCAGCCCCTCCTCTGTTTGCTCTCCGTCCTGATTACCGGAAGAGCTGGCTCCGTGGGGAAGGGCATTCGCAGCCAAGAGACGGAGCGAGCGATGTGGGCGGCCCTGCCTGGCCACTGGGCCGGGCTGTGCTGTGCAGCACGGGGCAAGAGGCTGCACAGGGCGGCAGGGACCGGGCTTGAAGGTCACAGCGTCATTGGTCAATTGGAGGCCCGGAGAGCAAGGGCGGGCTCGTGCTGAGGGACGGGAGTGCGTTCTAGCAGTTGTAGGTGGTTAGAGGGGGCCAGGCAGAAGTTTCCAGAAGCCTGAGGAGGGTGGTCTCTGCTGCCACCACACAGCTGTCCTCGGTGGCCAGGCTCTTCCAAGATGCGCTGGGAGGCGGCCTCCGCAGACGCTGTGGTGACAGCAGCACTTGGTCATCCCCTCCAGCTGCCGCCGTATCTCGTTTCTGGCCATTTCCCTGTGGGAGGAGTGGGTTCCCCCCGGGGCTCCGTCTCACCCGTCCTGCATCAGACCAAGGGCTCACGCTGCTGCTTGCACGTGTTCGGTCTTGTTTGGGGGGTGGGTTTTTAGTCTTTTCCAACAGTTGATTTGGGCGGTAGCCCCTCTCGAGAAGGAATCAAGTACCTCGTCAGAGGCAAACGTATGTAAGCAGTTCTCTGATTGCAGGACAGGCCCCGGCTCCTCTTGTGTCCTGGAGTAGAGAGAGGGAGTCCGACGTGCTCCAGGAACTGCTCAAGTATTCGTCAGATAAAGCTTACGGGAGGAAAGGTACTGGTTTCAAGGATGGACTTCCGTCCAGCAGTTCACTCATCGGGCAGCAGAGGTCTGAAATGGACCTGCTGTGTCATGACCCCGGGGCGGGGGTGTCACTGGGCTTTACGGACGGGCAGAGGAATGTCAGCCATGACCCTCCCTGAGCTGCAGCCGTTGCACAAAGTCCAGAACCAGTCCCTGTGGGAGGACCCAGAATGTTGCCCCCCCCGGGGGGTGAGCAGAGGCAGGGAGAACAGATCTTGGGCCTCTGGGTGGCGTGGGCCAGCTCGGGAAGGGCGTGGATGGGAATCACCCAGCACCGGTGCTGGGCCTTCTTAGTCTCAGAGAAAGAACATGAGACCTTTGTCTCTCAGATGAGGGCACAGGTTTGAAAGGAACTAAACTGGGGGACTGGTGGTACAGAGCTAACAACGTTTGCGCTTAAGGGACGGACCACTGTCCTGCACGCTGGGGACCACTCTGCCCTCCCTCCTCCTTCCCTGCGTGGTCCATTTAACCGAAAGGTGGCCCTCGAACATGCTGAATGTATCAGGAGTAGGCCAGTCTGGGTCGTAAACACCATTCTGGAAGCAAGTGCACAAGGGTGCCGACGCTCAGTGTCTGCTTTGTAGTGTTGACATGGGCTGGCGAGGTGTCGGCTGTCAGTCAGGATGCCATTCAGGACAGCAGATGGGCCCGCGCCGCCACGGTGATCGACAACTGGGATGAAGAGTTCGATCGAGGGAAGGTATGGGGTGCACTTGAGGCTGGCGTGACAGGGTACTCACGGTGGCCCCGCCGAGGGCCGGGCAGGGAGGACTTGACCCTTTGGGGCAGTTTGAAGTGGCAGCGACATTGTAAAGTGGTCAAGTACAACAACGGGAGGCAGGCTGCTGGACTCGGATGCCGCCTGGCCACTGCGAACGCTGTGTGGCCCGGACGAGGCGTTTTTTCCCCGTTGCTTTGTTCCTTCATCAGCAAGGTGGGGACAGTGGGGACACCTCCCTCAGGCCACACGAAGAGTAAGCTGGTTGGTTCGGCAGCAAATTGAGACTCGTGCCCCCCCACCCAACAAGCCTTCACAAGGAGCCGCAGGGACCAGGGGAGAGTCCTTTTCAGGAATTGTGACGCCTGGGGTTTCTTTATGTAGGAAAAGAAAGTGAAAAAGTTCAAAAGAGAGAAGAAAAGAACATACAACGCCTTCCAGAAACTTCAGAGTAGACGGAACTTTTGGTCTGTGACTCATCCAGCTAAGGCTACCAGCCTCAGCTACCGCCGCTGACTTTGCTGCTGTCGAGATGGGTCAGTGTGGGGGAGGTGTAAGGGGTGCGTTAGCATGTGGTTTGTATTTTCATGTGTGGGGGGTGTGTGGTATGGGGTGTGTGTCTAGTGCATGTGCGTGCGGTGAGGTGCACGTTAGCGTGTGGTGTGCGTGCGGTGTGCATGTGCGTGTGGTGTGCGTGCACGTGTGGTGAGGTGCACGTTAGTGTGGTGTGCGTGCGGTGAGGTGCACGTTAGTGTGTGCGTGCGGTGAGGTGCAGGTGCGTGTGGTGTGCGTGCGGTGAGGTGCACGTGCGTGTGGTGTGCGTGC